AATTGGTCGCATTGTTAGGTGATCATTAAGCGGGGGTCCACTGTACGTATTTATAAATAAGAAATATTGTATAAAAATGTAATGGAGAATATAAAGAAATAGTTTTATAAAGTTTATATATGCTGGTGGAGAGTGGAGGTGGAGAGTTGAAGATAGGCTACTTGCTACTAGCATGTACTGCAACCCCCGCACCTCGCTTGTTTATCTATGATTTCATGCTGTAATTCCATGGACATCATCCTCTTTCTCTTCTCAGCACTGTCCTTTGCACTTACTTTCTTAGGACTCATGGTTAGTAATGCGAAATTTGGCAATAACACTAGAAAATGTTTCCATGGTGACATAAAACACGTGCAAGCTCAGCTGATGTTGTGGCGTTCGCTGCAACACCTAGTGGTGGTCTTCTGAAACTCGCTCATTATTATTATTATTATTATTATTATAATTATTATTAATTTAAAGAACTGGAGCACAGATCCAATTCCCTAGATCAAGAACCCCTCACCAGTGTCAAGGTTCCTTGATGCTTGTGAGGGTCTCTTGATTTAGGAATTGGATCTGTGCTCCAGTTCCCTAAATTAATAATAATAATAATAATGAGTGAGCTTCAGCTCCCTAATTAATAATAATAATGAGAGCTTCAGAACACTGCTAACTCAGTGCACTGTTTGCCTCACTGTGGAAGCATTTTTGTCATGCACTGCATGCATTTTTACAGTTATTTTGCCAAATTTCTTTTTTCTAACCATGGGTCCTAAGAAAGTAAGTGCAAAGGACAGTGCTGAGAAGGAAAAGAGGATGATGTCCATGGAATTAAAGCATGAAATCATAGATAAACAAGCAAGGTGTGTGGGTTGAGGGGGAAGCTCGCTTGTAACTCGGATGTTCGCTCGTAACACAGAGCAAAAAATCGGCTTGTATCTTGAAAAACTCGTATGTTAGGACACTCGTAAAGTCGAGGTTCCACTGTACTTTCTCTCTCTCTTTAATGGGTGTTAGGAAAATTTCCTTGTGTTGTCTTGTATCCTTTTATAATTTTGTAATTTTTATAATTCATCATTTCTGCATTGTAATTGTGTTTTTCTGTGCTTCTATATCATGCAAAAGAAAGGTCTTTCTTTGAATATATCTTTAGTGTTTTTTCTACATTACTTTTGCATATTGTCCAAGCGAGTTCCTGATCTACCTCGTGTAAGTGGAGAATGAGGTAATTATGTTGCTCCTTTACTTAGTTTACCTGGAGAGGGTTTCGGGGGTCAACGCCCCCATGGCTCGGTCTGAGACCAGGCCTCGTGGTGGATCAGGGTCTGATCAACCAGGCTGTTACTGCTGGCCACACACAGGCATACGAACCACAGCCTGGTTGGTCAGGTACTAACTTTAGGTGCCTGTCCAGTGCCTTCTTGAAGACAGCCAGGGGTCTATTGGTAATCCCCCGTATGTATGCTGGGAGGCAGTTGAACAATCTTGGGCTGGGGACACATTGTGTTCTCTGTGTACTTGTGGTGCCCCTGCTTTTCATTGGGGGAATGTTGCATCTGCTGAGTCTTCTGCTTTCATAGGGAGTGATTTTTGTGTGCAAATTTGGTACTAATCCCTATAGGATTTTCCAAGTGTTTATTATCATGTATATCTCTCTCCTTCAATCCAGGGAATACAGATCAAGGGCCTTCAACCGTTCCAAGTAATTTAGGTGCCTTATTGTACTAATGTGTGCTGTGGAAGTTCTTTGTACACTCTCTAGGTCAGCAATTTTGCCTACCTTGAAGGGGACAGTTAGTGTACAGCAGTATTCCAGCCTAGAGAGAACAAGCGATTTGAAGAGAATCATGGGCTTGGTGTCCCTAGTTTTGAAGATTCTCATTATCCATCCTCTCATTTTCCTAGCAGATGCGGTAGATACATTGTTGTGGTCTTGGAAGGCGAGATCTTCTGACATTATCACTCCCAGGTCCTTCACATTACTTTTTTGCTCTATTGTATGGTTATAATTTGTCGCATAACCTGATAGTTTTAATTTCCTCATTGAACTTCATATTGCTTTGAGTGGCCCATTTGAAGATTTGGTTTATATCTGATTGGAGTCTTGTGATGTCTTTGATGGAGGTCACTGTCATGGCAATCTTGGTGTCATCCGCAAAAGAAGACACGGAGCTATGTCTTACATCTCTCAGATATGAGGATGAGGAATAGAATGGGAGCAAGTACCGTGGCTTGTGGAATAGAGCTTTTCACTGTAGCTGCCTCGGACTTTATTCTGTTTACTATTACTCTGTGTTCTATTTGTTAGGAGGTTATAGATCCATCTACCAACTTTTACTGTTATTCCTTTATCACACATTTTGTGCACTATTACACCATGATCACACTTGTCGAAAGCTTTTGCAAAATCTGTGTATACTACATCTGTGTTTTGTTTATCCTCTGCAGCATCCAGGACCTTGTCAAAGTGATCCAGTAGCTAGGACAGGCAGGAGTGACCTGCTATAAACCCGTGTTTTGTAACTGATGGGTATCTATTGGGTTGGCGCTCTTGCTTCTTAGAACCCTTTCAAAGATTTTTATGATATGGGATGTTAGTGCTATTGGTCTGTAATTCTTTGCAGTTGCTTTACTGTCACCTTTGTAAAGTGGGGCTATGTCTGTTGTTTTTAGAGAGAGTGGGATAACCCGTGTGCATGCTCCCTCTCCATAGAATGCTGAAGGCACGCGACTGTGGCTTCTTGCAGTTCTTGATGAACATGGAGTTCCACGAGTCTGGACCTGGGGCAGAGTGCATGGGCATGTCATTTATTGCCTTTTCAAAGTCTTGTGGTGTTAGGGTAGTATCCGAGATTTTTTAGGTGACCAAAATTTTGGGTTTCGTTCATAAAGAATTCATTTGGATTGTCGAACCTTAGTCTAGGCAGCGGCTCGCTGAACACTGAGTCATATTGGGACTTAAGTATCTCACTAATTTCTTGGCTATCATCTGTGTGTGTCCCATCTCACCTAAGCAGGGGCCCAATACTGGATGTTGTTTTTCCCTTAGATTTAGCATAAAAGAAGTATTTTGGTTTTTTTCAATTTCCTTTATCTTTTAGTTCTTCCTGTGGTGCTTATCTCCTGTAAGACTCCTTCAGCTTAAGTTCGATATTTGCAATTTCATTAACCAGTGCCTCTCTTCGTATTTCAGATATATTGGCCCCTCTCAGCAGCTCTGTGACTCTTTGCCTTAGTTTGTATTGGGAGCATTTCTCTCTTTCTAGTTTACATCTTCTCTTTCTTTTTCTTAATGGAATTTGCCTTGAGCAGATTTCAAGAACCACAGAGTTTAATTTTTCTAGGCAAAGGTTCGGATCTGTGTTGTTTAGAATATCTTGTTTCATTTAGGACATGGTTGACTTGTTCCCAATTTATGTTTTTGTTATTGAAATTGATTTTTGTGAAGGACACCCTCATGACTGATCACATTTTTCCTGGGCAGGAGCCCTGTGTGTACATGTTTGTACCTCTATCCTTTATCCAGTTTCTCTATATAATTTTGTTAAACTCCATAGTGGCTTTTCATTTTCATAATATGCATTAAACAACTGCATGCACTTTCCTGCATGACTGTGTCACAATCTGCCTTCAGACTTTGTGCAAGCAATAACAGTGGACCCTCGACTAACGCTATTAATCCGTTCCTGAGAGCTCATCTTTAAATCAAAATAATCGTTTAGTCAAGTTAATTTTCCCCATAAGAAATAATGGAATTCAAATTAATCCGTGCAAGACCCCCCAAAAGTATTGAAAAAAAAATTTAACACATGAAATATTAATTTTAATACAAACTGAAGAAGACATGCACAGTTACATGACACTTATCTTTTTTGAAATCTGGTGATGATTGATGGGATGGGAAGAGGGAGTGTGTTTTATGGTCTTAGTGTTTAGAAGGGGGAAACCCCTTCCATTAGGACTTGGGTGGCAAGTCCTTTTTCTGGGTTACTTCCCTTCTTTTAATGCCACTAGGGCCGCTTGAGAGTCACTGACCTCTGTCGCACAACATATCTGCCATAGAGCCTGTACCTCCCGTTCCTTTATGACAATTTCCCAAAGTGTTTCACAACATTATCATTGTCACCATTAAACACTTGTTCAGGTTTCAGTCCTTCACTGTCTATGTACTCCTTGAATTCCCCGCAAAATATTTTTTCAGCTGCTTTTTGGTCCAAACTGGGGACCTCACCATGCCTTATCACACTATGTATGCCACTACGATTCTTAAATCTCTCAACCAACCTTTGCTGGCCTTAAATTCACTCACATCACCACTATTTGCTGGCATTTTTCTAATTAAATCGTCATGCAACTTCCTAGCCTTTTCACATATGATCGCTTGAGAGATGCTATCTCCTGCTATCTGTTTTTCGTTTATCCATACCAATAACAGTCTCTCAACATCTTCTATCACTTGCGATCTCAGTTTCGAAAACATAGTTGCACCTTTGGCAAGAACAGCTTCCTTGATTGCCGTTTTCTTGGCCACAATAGTAGCGATGGTTGATTGGGGTTTTGTGTACAGCCTGGCCAGCTCGGAGACATGCACTCCACTTTCATACTTAGCAATGATCTCTTTCTTCATATCCATAGTAATTCTCACCCTTTTTGCTGTAGGGTTGGCACTAGAAGCTTTCTTGGGGCCCATGGTGACTTATTTTGCAGGTGCAATCACTAAAAAGGCTGTGATAATATGAAATGTTCCGATTGTATGCTTGGAAGCGACCGCGGTGGCTGGCTGGCTTGTAAACACTGGCCAGAAGTGGACGCGTCTCAGGTCTCAGACAGAACGAATAGTGTTGGTCGAGTTTTTAAGCGCTAATCGAGGCAAAAATTTTGCGATAAAATGTATCGCTAGTCAGATTTATCGTTAATCGATGCCATCGCTGGTCGAGGGTCCACTGTAATTTATTTTTCAGCTGATTAATATCAGGTGATAGTGCATGTACATGATTAAGATATTTGTCCTTTCATAGGTGGGGCATGCTGCATTAGGGCTTTACCGGCTGCTCAAGGAAGACGGAGAGAAGTATGATGCTAGCGTCGAGGAATGGGAAGAATTTGGGTGAGTCGAGATATTTTGTGTAGTGTGATTTTATCTAAAATATGAGTTTGAAAAATTTAAATGCATTTCCTGGTCTTATAAGCAGTGAACAATAGGGTAAAGCAGTGTTTAATACCAGTATTTATGCACACACTAAGTTTTTATTAGCCTGTAAACAGAATGGACTTTAGTGTAGTAATTTCCAGCATTACTTCCTTGAAGAAAAGTTTTATCTCCTTTTCCTCAAACTCTTCAGATATAACTTTGTGCTTCTGTATTAACTGCAGGAGTTGTGCCCATTATTTATAAGTACATATAGTATAAACAAACTAATAAACATTTTATTTCTGTGTGCAGTATATTACATGTAATAAAACATTGTTAAGCACAAAAGAAAGCCACTAGTATGTCTATACACTTTGGGAAAACTAATCCTAATGTTTACAGACTACTTAAAATTAGACATTGGTATTGACTGGTATAGTTTTAATTATGATTTATTGCAAAACAAGAGAGGTAGCAAAAATAGTACACATTTAAGTATGTATTAATACCTTAAACTGATTAAGTGATCCTGAGTTAATTGGGATTTCTTAAGTAGTTTCTAACTGGCTCTATGAATATTTCAGGCTATGGGATGATTAGAAGAGACAGGAAGTAGTTAGGTGAATTGGTTTTGTTTGACATAACATAGTGTTGGTGCAATTAAGTTAGGGAGATGGGGTGATTTTTAATTATAGCTCTAAATTCATTGGCAGATGGGAGACCTTTCACTGGTTCGGGCAGTGAATTCCAGATCTTGGGACCCTTTACGGGCATTGCATTTCTGCATAGGGTGAGGGATATCGATGAGTGTTTTGTGCCCCCCTGTGTCCTGTTGTAGTTATCAAAGAGAAGTTTGAAGAAAGAGCTTGTTGAAGTTTAATGTTCTCTGTATATGTACCCATTTGTAAGTTCAATATGTATACCTGCAGTATTTGTAAATGCAGTTGAACACTAAAATTTGTGAGCTTCATTTGATTACGTATATATAAAATTTTTTAGTGAAGGGTAGCTCACTGAGAACTTTAACCCTTTGAATGTTTCCGACGTATAAATACGTCTTACGAGCCAATGTTTCTGACGTATTTATACGCATAAATTCTAGCAGCTTCAAATCAAGCAGGAGAAAGCTGGTAGGCCCACATGTGAGAGAATGGGTCTCCATGGTCAGTGTGCACCATATAAAAAAAATCAGGGAGCCAGTGGTGCATTGTGGGAATGCCATTTCAGTTGTCCTTTTTCAGCATGTCTAGCGGTAAGAAATATGTGATTCCCTAGCAAATCTGGGACTCTTCTCTTCCCAAGTGATGCTCTAACACAGATGGAAGTGTCAGTGAAGATCAATTTCATGATTTGGAGGAGTTTGAGACCAAAAGCAATGGAGGAGGAGGAGGGGGAGGAGGGGAGGAAGAGGAGGAGGAGGAGGAGGAGGGAAGGAAGAGGAGGAGGAGGAGGAGGAGGAGGAGGAGGAGGAGGAGGAGGAGGAGGAGGAGGAGGAGGAGGAGGAGGAGGAGGAGGAGGAGAAGGAGGAGAAGAGGAGAAGGAGGAGAAGAGGAGGAGGAGGAAGAAGAAGATGTAATAATATTGTTCCCTTGAAGCAAGAAAAAAAAAAGTCCACCCCATGACAGTGACAAGATAAGGGAGATAACATCTGATAAGAGCTGACTTTGATGAGGGTAAAGGAGGGTAATATTACATGACCATCGCCCTCCCTTTGTTTTTGTTGGTACACAAACATTTCTGTCTGTCTATTTGTCTGTCTGTCAAGCTCCCTGTCTGTCCATCTAGCTCTCTGTCTCAGAGAGAGCCACAAGACTGTGTCATCACATTTACTCACTCTTCAATCAGAGTATAGCACTTTGTCTGGATTTTTTGGGGTTATCCTAGGTAATTTACACTATGTATACTTGTATTTATGTGTACCTGTGAGACAGAGATAGGCAGACAGATAGAAAGAGAGACAGATTGAAAGATATAGAATGAGGAGAAAAATAAATTTGAATGGAGGAGGGGAAGCAGCATCCGACCCCATTGTTTTGACAGGAGGTAGGGGGTGTGAGTTTAAAGAGATAATAGTCACTTTGACAGCTGCCGACTTCTGACTCAAAACAATTATAAGCCACACCTCGCACACAAGACAAGGAGGAGGAGAAGGAGGAGAAGGAGAAGGAGGAGAAGGAGAAGGAGGAGAAGGAGAAAAGGGGGAGAAGGAGAAGGAGGAGAAGGAGAAGGAGGAGAAGGAAAAAAAGGAGGAGAAGGAGAAGGAGGAGGAGGAGGAGGAGGAGGAGGAGGAGGAGGAGGAGGAGGAGGAGGAGGAGGAGAAGGAGGGGGAGGAGGAGGAGGGAGAAGGAGAAGGAAAAGGAGGAGGGAGGAGGAGAAGGAGAAGGAGGAGGAGGAGAAGGAGGAGGAGGAGGATGATTGTTTTTTTTGTAAACAAGTTTTGTAAACAATATATTGATAATTTTTGTTTGTGTGCTTATTGTGTTGTATACAACGAGTGTATATATATACATTGCACCTTACTTTGGTCTCATAGGCCACATAAGTTATGTGAAAAAATAAAATAGTGAAAAAAACAAAAAACCTTCAAATACAAGTAAACTAAAGTTTACCGGGTGAGCGGCAGTCGCCGCTGTTGCCATACGCGGCTCATTTTCTGCAAACTTCACGGCTCTATATCTCAGTAAGTACCGATGGCAAAAATTTTTTTTTTGGACTAAAGCACTCAGAAAAATAATCTTAACATTTTCATAAGAAAAAATAATTTTTTTTTTTTTTGAATATTTGGTGACATAGAATGACAGTTTCAGAGAGGGGCCTGAAACAGTCAAAGGGTTAATTATTCAGTTTTATTTTGGCTGGCTCCTATGTTTTCTTTTTACTTGAGATGCTACCCCTAAATTGAAAGCACCTTAGTACAAAAATGTACAAATCTGTTTTCTTTCTTCTTATTCATTATGAAAATGATTTTTAACGGTATTAGTATTTTTTTTAATGCACTCACCGCCTTCCACTGAGAGTGTAACCTAATAAGAAACTTGAAAGTTTCTCTATTTAAATTTAGTAATATATACAGGGGAAGGGGTTACTAGCCCCTTGCTCCAGGTATTTTAGTTGCCTCTTACAACACGCATGGTTTACAGAGGAAGAATTCTTTTCCACTTTCCCATGGAGACAAGAGGAAATATAGAAGAACAAGAACTATTAAGAAAATAGAAGAAAACCCAGATGAGTGTGCAAATATATATGCATGTATAGTGTGACCTAAGTGTAAGTAGAAGTAGCAAGATATACCTGTTATCCTGGGTGTTAATGAGACAGAAAAAGACGCCAGCAATCCTACCATCGTGTAAAACAATTACAGGTTTCCATTTCACACTCATTTGGCAGAACGGTAGTACCTCCCTGGGATGGTTGCTGTCTACCAACCTACTACCTAATATATTTAGTAATATAGCCCAAAAATGATGGAAGAGGAACACCAACAGCTATGGGAGCTTCCTGAAAATTGCCATTTTGGATAATATTTCCTACTCTTGTAGCTGTTTCTTCCAATTTCATCCTCATTAAGTATCATTCAAATTCCAATTTTGTTTTGATCACATTGGCCGTCTCCCAGCAAGGTAGGGTGACCTGAAAAAGGAACACTTTCACCATCTATAGCTGTCTTACCAGAGGTGCATAGATACTACACTCAAGATTCACTTCCAAAACTGCAAATATCCACACTTCCTTAATGCCTGCATTCTAAAGGAGGGTTGTGGATATTTGGAAGGGCATCCAAACTGTATTATCTATTTGTCTCTGATAAGACAGTGATAGAGTGAATGATGGTAATAGTGTTTCTTTTTAGGGTCACCTTACTTTGGTGGGAGATGGCCACTGTGATAAAAAAAAAAATATGGATTTGAATGATACTTAACCCTTTGAATGTTTCGGTCGTATATATATGTCTTACGAGCCACCGTGTTTGACGTATATATACTCATAAATTCTAGCGGCTTCAAATCAAACAGGAGAAAGCTGGTAGGCCCACATGTGCACATGTGAGAGAATGGGTCTGTGTGGACAATATATAAAAAAAATCCTGCAGCACACAGTGCATAATGAGAAAAAAAACTGATCGTTTTTTTTTTTTTAATTAACCCTTTCAGGGTCCGTCCCATAGATCTACGGCTTTACGGTGAGTGTCCAAACCGTAGATCTACGCCATGAGCTCAGCTCACGCTGATAAACTGTGAGTGGTACATTTGGGCCTAGATATGAGAGAATACATCTATGTGGTATGTGTGCACCACATAAAACAGATCCTGCAGCACACTGTGTATAATGAGAGAAAAAAACTGAAATCATGATTTTTCAATTAAAACAGCGACTTTGCAGTGTTTTTTCGTATGTTTTTTATAGTTGTATTTGCGATTTCTTGGTCTCATTTGATAGAATGGAAGACATATTAAAGAAATAGAGATGATTTTGATTGGTTTTAGCACTGGAAATGGCTTGAAACTGAGCTCAAAGTAGCGGAAATGTTAAATTTTTGCCGATATTCAAGAGTAAACAAACGACCTCACACATCTAATACACGTCAGCTGGTGGGTCTAATATACATTCACAAATATGGTGATGATATTTATACAATTATTACAGTAAATCTTCTATTTTTTGGTGTGAATAAAAAATCAAAATGGAATTTATTTGTAAAGCCTCAAAATGTAACTAATGAACAGAGGAAATGTTAGTTTAGTTCCAGGAATACCTACATTGTTTATTCTGGAGCCTATTTTGAAATTGGAATATTTTGAACTTTGTGTTAAATTGGCCAAATTAACAATTTCCGATCACTTTATTTTGTAGTTGAAACAGTTGATTTGGCGATTTCTTGTGCTCAATCGATAGAATAGAAGTAATACTAGTGAAATAGCTAAGAATTTGGTTGATTGGAGTAATGTAATTGGCCTAAAATGGGAGTCAAAGTCGGCAAAATCGCCGACTCGTAAATATTGCTGACACATCAAAATTCACGAGAGCATAATTGTCAGTTTTCCACCAAATTTCGTGCTTTTTGTTTTATTACCTTCACAAAAAGATTCTCTACGATTTCATAAGAAAAAATAACAAATTTTTTTTTTTAAAATTCTTGGACACTGGTGCGTGATTTCAGATTTTGGCCTTGGACCCTGAAAGGGTTAAAATGCCGATTTTGTGGTCTATTTTCGTATAGTATTTATGGTTGTATTCTCGTTTTCTTGGTCTCATTTGATAGAATGGAAAACATATAGAAATAGAGGTGATTTTGATTGGTTTTATTATGAAAAGAACCTTGAAAAGGAGCTCAAAGTAGGGGAAATGTTTGATTTTTGCCGATGTTCAAAAGTAAACAAATGTCATTTTCCAATAAATGTCCAAGTAGCTATTCTAATATGCAGTCATGAATGGGTTGACATTATTTGTACAATTATTACAATATTGCAGTAGTCTGCATAACAGTAAATCTTTTATTTTTTTGTTTGAATAAAAATTCAAAATAGAAAGCAAGAGTAATATCAGAGGGGCCTGGAGACGTGACTGATGAACAAATTATTATTATTACAATCAAGGGGGAAGCGCTAAACCCGGAGGATTATACAGCGCCTGGGGGGGGGGGAATGTGGAAGGCATTCAGGCTTAATTTGGGGAACTGGAGCACAGATCCAATTCCCTAAATCAAGAGCCCCTCACCAACATCAAGGAACCTTCCTTGAGGGGACTGATGAACAAAGAAAATGTTATTTTAGAGCCAGGAATGTCTGCATTGTTCATTCTGGACCTTATTTTGAAATTGTCATATTTTTTAATTTTTGTGAAATTGGCCAAATTTCTGACCACGTTATTGGGTAGTTGAAATCGGTAAATGGGCAGTTTCTTGTACTCAATCGATAGAAAAAATGGAGCTCTAAAGAAATAGCTGAGTTTGGTCGACTGGAACAATGAAATTAGCCGAAAATAGGGCTCAAAGTGGGCGAAATTGCCGATTCGTAAATATCGCCGAGGTCGCTAACTTTGCGAGAGCGTAATTCCGTCAGTTTTCCATAAAATTTCATTCTTTTGGCGTCATTGCAATCGGGAAAAGCTTCTCTATCATTCCATAAGAAAACATTTTTTTTTTTTTTTAAATTTGGCGACACCATGAGACACCTCAGGATTGGGGGTTGTGACAGTCAAGGGGTTAATAAGGTCATTTTCCTCATATAGGCTGTGTCCATAGTAACATTGTTTTGTCAATTATATTGCCATTTGTTTATCAGATGCATTTTTTGTGGTGTTTATATGTGGATCTTTTCATGCTACTTTCTTACATTTTCAGTCATTATTATTTTGTTATATATTCCCTCTTGTCGTGTGCATCTCATGTTCAAGACTTTAAATACAGTGGACCCCCGGTTAACGATATTTTTTCACTCCAGAAGTATGTTCAGGTGCCAGTACTGACCGAATTTGTTCCCATAAGAAATATTGTGAAGTAGATTAGTCCATTTCAGACCCCCAAACATACACGTACAAACACACTTACATAATTGGTCGCATTCGGAGGTAATCGTTTTGCGGGGGTCCACTGTACATTGCTACTTTTGTTAATTGCTTGTTAAGGCTTTACTAACGTAAATTTTATTCTGCAGTTTTGTGTATAGAGATAGAAAGTTGAAAGTGAACATGAGTAAGGTGATGAGGGTATCAAATGATTTAGATAAAGAAAAATTGGACATCACATTAGAGGGAGGGAGTATGGAAGAAGTGAATGTGTTCAGATATTTGGGAGTTGACTTTTCAGCAGATGGGTTTATGAAGGATGAGGTTAACCATAGAATTGAAGAAGGAAAAAAGATGAGTGGTGTGTTGAGGTATCTGTGGAGACAAAAAATGCTATCCATGGAGGCAAAGAAGGGAATGTACGAGAGTATAGTGGTATCAGCACTCTTATGTGAGTGTGAAGCTTGGGTTGTGGTGGTTGGAGGCAGTGGAAATTTTGTGTCTAAGTGCAATGTGTGTTGTAAATGTTATGCAGAGAATTCGTAGTATGGAAATTAGATGTGGAGTTACTAAAAGTATTAGTCAGAGGGCTGAAGATGGGTTGTAGAAGTGGTTTGGTCATTTAGAGAGAATGGAACAAAATAGAATGACATGGAGAGCGTATAAATCTGTAGGGGAAGGACGGTGGGTAGGGGCTTGGACTTGCATGAGTATCTTAGATAGGAGTGAATGAGACTAATGGTTTTTGGGACCTGACGGAGTGCAAATGGTAATATTTTGTGAAATGATTCAGAGAAACCAGTTAGCTGGACTTGAGTCCTAGAAATGGGAAGTACAATGCCTGCACTTTAACGGAGGGGTTTGGGATATTGGCAGTACATCTAAACTGTCGTATATGAGCGGATCTGCAAAGACAGTCATTATGTATGAGTGATGGTGAAAATGTTGATTATAATAATGAAAGTTTTTTTTTTTTTTTTTTTTTTTTTTTTTTTTTTTTGTCTTACATCAGGGGCATAAGATGTGCATTCTTTGATTAAAACCGAGCTATATCTAAATTGAGACCCATAGAATTCCCAACTTATAATGTCACACTGATACTTGCCTTTCTGAACTCTGGCAAAATTTGTTTTGTACTTAGTGACCTTCCCCTTCAGTGAATGATTCCTGCTAGGCCCACTAAGGTCTTGCAGCAGAAAACTATTTTGACCCAAGCAAAAGGTGTGTTTCTGGCTTAGGGGCCCTGGAGGGCTAATGGTTTCAACTGTCTTCCTTAGCTACTGTGTTTTGGCTGGTAACTCTGTTCAGGAGCATTCTTGGAGCCTTGTCTGATGTCATTTATAAGAAGTCGGTAATACTTGGCGATTCTAAGTGAGGGTCATCACTAAGCACATGTACAGACCTTGCTGGGGCCCAGTGAAGTGAATATTGGTGTGACTGTCATATTCTTTTTGTACAGATTTCAGACAGTCCCTTTCTGTATTCAATTTGAAAATTGTGTATAATTGTTCTTGAATTATTATACTACTCTGCTGCAAGTATCTTGGTCCTTCAGTTTTGTGAGCAAGTTTATTCCTTTTTTAATTAATACAAAAACTTTGGCACCAGATGTAGTAGCTTTCCCGACCTTCTCCAAGTTTTGTACATGTAACCTACCTGATGCATTAGCACGAAAACCAGATGGAGATTTTGCTATTCTTAGAAGACCTATGCTAACAAAATTTGATTTCCGAAATATATAATGCAGTATGCAATAGAATTAATTGACTGGTAACTACTACACAGAAATCCCCCCCCTTGTGGCACAAAGAATTTTGAGCAGGTTTATTTATTTTTTTTTTTTCCAACAAGTCGGCCGTCTCCCACCGAGGCAGGGTGACCCAAAAAAGAAAGAAAATCCCCAAAAAGAAAATACTTTCATCATCATTCAACACTTTCACCACACTCACACATTATCACTGCTTTTGCAGAGGTGCCCAGAATACAACAGTTTAGAAGCATATACGTATAAAGATACACAACAATATTCCCTCCAAAAAACAGCCAATAATCCTCAAAACCACTACCTTAAAGTGGGCAGGCACTGTCCTTCCCATTTTTTTCATCTTTTCCTCAGGACTCAAGTCGACTATATGAAAATATATTATTATAATCAAAAAGAAGCGCTAAGCTACAAGGACTATACAGCATTTAACTTATAGCTATTGTACATTATGTCCAGGAATAGATGTGAAACAGAGGGGGGTGGTTAGTTTATAGGTCATAAGATGTAAAAAATATGTCAGTAGACTAAAAAATAGGTGCTTTGATTCAGTAAAGATTTGAGAGCATTAATTTTCAAGTGTAAACACTCAGTAGGTGGAGAATTTGTTTTAATTCTTTTTTATATTTGCAGAGAAAGGAAGATAGCATTAAAAGGAAAAAACTCTCAAGAACTCATTGAACTTCAAAAGAAAGCAGAAAGTCTGTACCTTCCAACGTACCTGGTCCATGATGCAGGTAAAACTCAGGGTTCCATGCAGGGATCAACAACTGTACCTTGGCTAATATTAGCGATGAAAGAGGCAGTGAATGAAGTCACAGGGAAACTAAAGCTCTTGTGATGGTATTCAGGTTTAATATCCTTTTATGCAGTTGCATTAAAATATCTTTAATATATTATTAAAGAATGTCTTAATTTAATTACACCAGGGAGACAAATATAAAAGGATAAGGTTTCCTCGGAATAAAAAACTTTGGTATGGTTTCAACTTGGAATTTCTAGTAATTTGAAGCTGGAATTTATTTTATGTATTAATGTTTATATTATTATGTGTATTGTAAATTGCAGCATGTATTGAGGTGTGTTTTAAGGAATAAAAAAAAAAAGTATTTAATGACTCTGAGCATGTGAGTGTTTTTTTCCCTTCAAACTGCAGACTCGTTAAAACAGTCACCTTGGAACTCATCAAAAATTTATAATTGGAATATTATTATAAGTAAGAGGTGAAGCTGATGAACTAAGTAAGTTAGGGTGAAATATAAAGAAATTATTCGCAGAAATGTGGCCTAGTGCAAGTCGGGGAGGGAGGAGTGGGATAGTTTTAAAATGCAAAGTTAGAATGTGCAGCAGTAAAACTATAAGAAATAGTATAGAACGGGTCAAATAGAGAACAGTATAAATGTTACAATCGTCAAGCACTTACCCGGAGCCTGAAAGATCTAAAAAATTGTACTATGAAAATAGATTACATAATCAAAGGTGACATTGAAAAATCTATCTGAAATTCTTGGAACTAAAAAGTATCCAAAAACAAAATAATCACTCATACCCTACTGAAACAGTAAGCAATACAATGTTTCCTTCTCCACCATAGGAAAAAAAAAATCTAGTGAACAAAATACCAACTCAAACACTCATCCATCAGACTACCTCATAGGTATCTACCCTCAGATATGCTATTTCCTAGCTCCAACCAACTGAAACTAGCAAGTCTTGCTCATCACACAGCACCCTTAAAAACAAGGCTTCAAGTATTGTCACTAGTTATTGAAACACTAATAATCCATTGAATCATCTACCTTCCCAACAATCCTCAAATAGTAAGGGTCCCACTCCAATCCAATAAAGGAGGTGACGCAAGGCTGAACTTGGAATTAACTGAAGACATATATCTAACTTACCACTGATCTTAGAAAAAAATAATTCAGACGATCTATTCCCAAACTTCGTATTGTACAAAATATTTTAAACCCTTGTCAGTTCGGATTTCAGGAATAATAAAAGCACAAATGATGATATACACATGCATAGAATAATATCTACCGCACTGAAAAGAAAAAGCCCGCTGGGCCTTTTCATTGATTTAACGTAAAGCTTTTTGATACAGTAGAAAACCACGAACTCTGAACTCGAAATTTAACGCACTATGGTATCAGAGGCCAACTACCTAAAAGTCATTCCTTTAGTAAAACAGAACTCAATTTATTATGCAAAACTCTTCCCACCCCAACCAATCATAGTAGGAATTCCCAAAAGGAAGTGTCCCCCTTGACCACTCCTCTTTCTCCCATCTACATCAATTATCTACCAAATGCATCACAGCTACACAAACCCATATTATCCTGCAGATTGACAATTATGTCTTCTCCCCACCCAAACACCGTCACAATGCAGAATTGCAGAAAATATCTGCCTGGATGATTACTAATAAACTTAACCTGAATACAGAATCAAACATATTTCATTCAGTTTGGAAACCAAAGCTGCAAATCTTTAAAATATAATACTAAAAACGATATCAGCACAAGACCTAGAGGGAAAATTCTTTGGTATCCACCTTTACAGTATCCTTAATTCTAGACAACATATACAAGAAATCCAAGAAAATCTCCTAAAGAACTGTAGGTATACCTGTCAATACTGTCAACAAAAGATAAGTTAATAACATTCCAACAATTCAGCTCTCCTGCCACTATATATCATTCAATCATATACCCATACCTCACACTGTGGAATTGTGTGCATGGGGATCAAACAACATTCCGTCTCACTAAGACCTCTAATAACCCAGCAAAAAGCAGTAGTCAGAATAGTAAATTCCCCCCACTCCCACCAGCATACTCCAACATTTTCAAAGCTGAATCTGCTCACCATTAAGAAATATCCATAACTTATTCATGTGCCTAATACATAACACAGAACAATAAAGTGAGAAAAGAGGGAATAAACCCTCCACTCAAACTTCTCTAACAGACGGCGGGTGGGTAGCAGAACATAAGACACAGGATCGAGGCGGAGATTTGATATAGCGGCCTCATGTCCGCGATGACACGGGGGGGGGGACTATAAAAACAACATGCCCAAAAATTTGGAAAATTCATTACAGAAGATAACTAAATTAACCCGGTCGTGAAAATCAATTTAAGACTTCTTTTCTCAAAAGCCACATAAATCGCCCCTATGCTAAATACTCATACACACAAGCGTTTAAATCCCCCCTCAAGGAAGGCGCTCTTGAATTTAGGGATTGGATCTGTGCTCCAGTTGCCTGCATGCCTTTCCAACATCCCCCCCCCCCACAAGGTGCCGTATAATTCCACAGGGTTTAGCGCTTCCCCCTTGATTTATAATAATAATACGTTAGGGGGGTGGGACCCACATCATACTTTCAACAATTTTTTTTGAACCTTTTTATCCATTGTTGACAGGATTATAATTGATGCATTTTTTTTGAATATATATTCTTGTCTTATATAAATTAATTCACTCTATATTAAACTATCGTTAATTCTACTGTAGCAGCCTATGACATAATTCTTAGTGTTAAGTAGTATGTAACCCATAATGCCTAAGCATAAATTAGAGGCTCTCTTTGAATGCAACCCATATGTATAAATACAAAATCTCAATACAATTTGCTAAGATCATAAATTAGTTAAGGTTATAGGAGGGTGGGTGTAAGTAGGAATGAGGAGGTAAAGGGTGTGATAAAGGAAGAAAAAGGTTTCTTTAGAGAGGTTTTTACAAAAGCAAAAATAAGATATGGAGGGCTCTGTCAACAAATTTTTAGAATGAATGGATTTTGGGTCAGTTAAAAACAGTAGGGGATTGGTAATATGCGGAATATTTTGATGAACTTAAATGTTGAGAAGAAAAGGGAGGCCACTAATTTATGCACTGGGCAGGGAGAGTAACATTTTTAGGTGAAGAAGAGCAGGATGCAAGTGTTTAGGGGGGGGGGGCAGGGGTGGATTTACATCACATGAAAGGGTTTAAAAGGCAGCTGGAAACTGTATGATAGAAATTGTAAAAGCATTGGTGGGGGGAATATGTGGAGAGGTTGTATTTTTATGTAATGAATGATGGGAGGTACCTAGGATGGCAGTGTGTAAGTTCCTTTATATAAATGGAAGGGATAAAAGTGATTGTAACAATTATAGGGGAATAAGTTTACCAAGTTGTAGTTTTGGTAGACAACAACCTCCTGCCCAAACGATGTAAAACGAAAGCCTGTAATTGTTTTACATGTTAACCTTTTTTGCTGTCTCACACTTGCAAGATTTCAGGTATGTCCTTCCTATTAACATATGGGTTTTTCTTAAATAGTTCTTGTTCATTTTATTTTTCCTTTCTCCTATCTCCATGGGGAAGTGGAACATTTTCTTTCCTTCCTTCGTAAGCCATGCTTGTCAATAAAAAGCACTTAAAATTCGGGAGCAAGGGGCTAGTAAACTCCCTTTCCGTATACATTACTAAAGTTTTAAAAAGAGAAACTTTTTTTTTTTCCTTTTTTTTTGGTCCACCTTCTGCCTTTTGTGGGATATGCTAGTTTACCAGAGTATAATAACCAGGTAAAGTGGTAGGGTTATTATTGAAAGAATTAGAGGCAGGCTTAAGTGTTTACATTGAAGCATACATGTCGGGTCAGTATTTAGATGAGGGTAGGGAAGTTCTCATTGGCTTTAGTAAAAAGGCAATATGATGAAGTGGAATAGGGAAGGGATGTTGCAAGTATGGGAATAGGTATAAGGGAAACCGGTTAGCTAAATAGTCCTGAAATGGTAAGTACATATGCTGGCAGTTTTGGAGGGGACAATCTAAACTGTTCGTATCCGAGTGCCTCTGCAAAGAAACAAATGAAAGTTTTTTTTTTTGTGGGTTCACTCCCCCTGTCTCAGTGGAAATGGCACTGTTAAAAAAAAAATATATGGTTGTGAAAGCTTGCAAAGCAGACCACAGTGTGTTTATCCAACTGCTCTGCCACAAGCTTGATTTCTATGTGCTCAATTGCTGTTTTGGCAATTGATGACTTTGCTATGAAATACACTGACTTAAGGTGCCTCCTTTGAAGGACTATAAAAAGCCAAGTGCTGTATGGACCCTTGGGTTTAGTGCTTAGTACGAAATATAAAGCCAAGTCAAGAATTTTTAATATTGCCCAAAGTCATCCTACAAGAAAAGCTTAAAACCACAGGTGGCAAAGACAAAAAATGCCCCACAATGATCGACTGTCATTGATACAAGGTTTGCTTTGGTCAACCAAGGAAGTAATTCCATCTATAAGGGTGGAAACCTTAATAGTCGTTATAATCAAGGGGAAGTCTCTAAACTCATAGGATTATACAATGCTGGGAGGGGTGGGGGGAGGTATTCAGGGAACTGGAAGCACAGATCAAGAGCCCCTCACCAGCATCAAGGAACCTTCCTTAGGGGAAATTGGTGAATGATCTTTCACTACATTTTCCGTCATCGTTTTTTCTGTAATCTGCCAGTTCACTCAGGAAGTTATGTCACATTTTCTGAACTGGAACCATGGTTCCACTTCATTTTATCCTTCAAATTAATCTTTTTTGCAGCGAGGGCCTCTTGATCAAAGTAATTGGATGTGACCTCCCTTCCTTGGATCAAACCCCATTTCCTCAAGTGTTTTATTCCCTCTTTTGGGTTTAGTGTCTGCCGTGCCTACCAACCTCTCATGCCACTCGATACTTCAAAAAAACCCCCCCCCTGTAGGGTTAGCCACCCAAGAAAAGTTAGTAGCGTCATGAGGACTTGTCTAACTTATTTCCATTGGGTTCCGTGTAATCCTTGTCCCGCCAGGTACCTATTTGCTGCTAGGTGAACAGACAACTGAGGCGTAAAGGAAATGTGTCGAAATGAAATTTACCACCGCCGGAATCGAACCCGATCGGAAATGGCCCCATCCTTGTGTGGAAAGAGGGACTTTAGGGCCGACCAGGCCTTCATAACATAAATTTAAATGTCAGTGGATGGCAAGCCCATTTTCTATAACAGTGTAGCTAATTTCTCTTTTGTCTTATTGATTTTTCATTCTGCGCAGTACCCCTCAAGGAAGCTTCCCTTGATGTTTATTAGGGAATTGGACAATTTCTTTGAATCAAAA